ACTGAGCAATGAGTCCCCACTGCTATGTTTTGTATTTATTAAAAAGTGTGTATTTCAAGGCTCCCTCGGTCACATTACTGCATCCAAAGTCATTGTAAACCAAAAAGCAAACAGTCACAGAAACCCACTAAGAGTAATTTTAGCAAATCACTGAATGCCAACTATGTGCCAGACGCTGCGGGATCTCACGCGAAACGAAATTAAATGGTTCCCCGTGGCGAGTCTAGTTAGGCAGACTCACCCTCCCCCGGGTTCAGCGGGCCTCTGCTCGCATCTCCAAAGCACTACACTCTCGCTCTAACTTACCTGCAACTAAAACGTTTAATTTGTCTCAACGCCCCGCCATCCGCTGTACCCTAACTAGCTCTGATGGGCAGGGACCCCGGCTGCACCATCTTTAACGGCCCCAAGACCCTGTTCGGTGAAGGGCTGACAGTGTCTCTCGTTGGTAAATGGACTAAGGGACCACCTTACAATGCATGAGTATTTTACCGTGAGCAGCAAGGGTCTTTTGGAAATTAGCCTTTGCTGAGTTCGGAAAAACAAAATACAAATCAAGTATTCCCTGAGCCCCGGCCACACACAGCCCCAAACCTCCCCTCCGCCCGCCCCAGTCCTCTCACTTAATCTCCGCGTGACTGAACAGTCCAACGCGCTCCAGCTGTTCCAACTCCGGAATCCGATCTTCTATTCGCTCCTGAATTATCTCCGCCATGAGGTCGGCGCTCCGCAAGCCGACGGGAGGTGAAACACTGACACGCGCAGGAAGGGCCCACCTTCCCGTCTGCAGACCCAGTCGCCGCGCACACGCGCTGACGTCACGCGCGCCTAGGTCCCGCCCTTTCCTCTTCCGCCTTTGGAGACCGTCCTCCGGCTCTCGCGGCCGCTGTCACCTCTCTGTGGCTGCCTGTGGGATTGCAGCCAGAAACCCTCCCTGTCCTCGAGGGGCGGGGCTTGGAGGGGGCGGGAACATGAAAGGGGCGGGGCTACTGCGTGCGCGCAACGTGGGCTTAGGCGGGGATTTGTGAAAAAGTACCCGGTACCTGAAATTGGCCTGAAGCGCATATTCTGCTAGATATTGGCCGCTTTTGTTGTGCTTTCTTCCATCCCCATTTCCTCAACGTAAAAAAATGCACAGCGCTAATTAGAAAACGTAAGCAGGGGGCTGGTGAGATGGCTCAGTGGTCTAAAGCACCTACTTAGAACAAGCTTGGCAAAGCA